TAGTAGCGATGCCAGGATACCTCTGTCTAACTTCAAGCCTGGGGTCCAGCGATGCCCTTTGCTCCTAGTAGCTTCTTGCTAGTGCTCAAACAAGAGGCCGACTCCTCCGACTCCGCATTCTCCGGCCAGCGCAACCGACCCTCGGAGAGGAAACGTGCTTTTGCCTACCGGTGCTGTGAGGAACACAGAGTGCGAACTTCTGGACTCCAAGCACCAAAAGTGCTCAGGTTAACATGATGATGGAACACATATTAATACGCTTTTTAATGAATTGTCCATTAGTGACGAGTGGAGTTGGCTCACCCACTGTGTCCCAACAAAGCATCTGGCCCCGCTAAAGGCGAACGCCTTCTCGCCTTCTCACTTGCTCGCACTAGCATGGAGTCTGGAAAGTTTCCGATGATTCCTTGGCGATGCATGACACAACGGGCCGACATCTATGTCAAGCTACCCCTTGGCCATTGTTACAGCCTGGCTGCTGCTTGCAAAATAAAGGCCGCCGTGGAACATTGGCTATATCCCAGGCACCCTGTGACTTCAAAATTTCAATTAGCACAGCTCAACCTAGGCAAATTTGTTTCGTCAGCGGTCTCGATCTCGTTTGGGAAGCGGCTAAGGGTATGAATAAACAACGCCACTGTGAACACCGAGAGGCTTTCCATCAATGCCTTGGAAGTAGGCACGGGATATGCAATAACCTAAATCTGGTGCATGTACATATGTAATTACAGTAAATGGTGCACGCGTGCTAAGCCCCCCAGGGATGTACGTTGTACAAATGACAGAAGGCGAGAAGGCATGTTTGAGAAGGTGCGTTTTGTGGATGCTAGTAGCAATGCCCTTGTTACTATATAGCAGCTTCTTGCAACCCCTGTAATATGACATCTGTTATTATTGAGCAGGCGGTGAAAAGGAATTGCCCGAGGTAAGCAAAAACTTCAATAGAATTCTTTTCATAGGACATAGGTGCATAATCTGTACAAGGGCTTTAGGCAGCTACAAGCCTTCAAGTCTACAATCAATACTGTTAAGCATGTGTTCCAGCCAGTGCATCATTTCTTTGAGCCTGTGCAGGTTTGATGGTCACGCGATGAAGGGAAAAAGCCTGAACGGGTTCGACACAAATGAAGCCCGTCAGTGAAGACCAGGAGAAGGATGCCCGAAAGGTGGTTTTTGGTTGTTTTGAAATGCGTTTCGGGCATCATGCATGAATGCGAAGCCCTATAAAGAGCAGGGCTGGGAGAAAAAAAGAGGAGTGTAGTTTTCGTGGAGCTGGTATCACTGCGACGTAGATGAAGATCGGAGCACAGCATGAAGTGTTGAATGTTTTTAGTATTCTTGATTTGCTTGGTGCGGTGCCTTCTGGAGCGTCCCTTGTTGGTGTTCTATTTGAGAACCCGTGCCAAAAAAAACCGTCAGTGAACACCAGGAGAATGATGCCCGAAATGGTTCTTGTTGTTGTGTTGAAATGTGTTTCGGGTATCGTGCATCAATGCGACGTTCTATAGAGAGCAGGGCTGGGAGGAAAAAATAGCAGGGCACCTATAGTTGAAAGCTTGTATTTTCGTGGAGGTGGCATTACTGCGACTGAGATCAAGATCGGAGCACAGCATGAAGTGTTGAACGTTTGCAGCTTTCTTGCTTCTCCTCTTGCGGCGCTCTTATCCCCAAGCCTCTACCTCGCCCAACTGGACATGCTCACATCGTTCGCTCCCAGAGCCTTCACTCTTTGTTGCTTGGTCCTTCTTGGTATGATCAGAGCTACACAGTCCCTATGCCCTGCTCAGGACTAGAAAAATTGTCTCCAGACCCCTTCATCATGCCAATGATGCACTACTCGGCGTCCATTGCATCACTCGCGAATCACCAGACCCCATTTTCACTGCTTTTCTGACCCTCGCTTTGGAGCGCTCTCACCCTCTCAAAAGGTGCCTTTCGCGCCCTCCCCCCCCACACCCCCTTAACTCACTTCGTTCGCTCTAAGAGCTCAAGCCTAGCCTATCGGCTGGCTTTCGTATTTAATATATTATATTGTTATTTTTCTTTTGGCGTGCGTGCGCGCATGGTGACGGGCTCAACAGGAACCGCTGCAATTGTCAAGATGCTAAGTGTTCTTCGCTGTTGTGAGTCTCAAAGAGCATGCTACCACTGTAGAGCTCCCAAAGGATACCTGAGATCGTAGGGAAACATTCCCAAGAGCGCAACCATACCTAGCCTTTTCAGGCAAGGTGCAGCCTAAGCTCCATAGATCAGCTTTGTCCTTTGGCGTTCAAGCTCAGCAAACATCAACCGTTTCCCGAACTGGATGCAATTGATTGACAGCAAATGCTAAGAGTCCTGGGGTACTACAGTGGGCTTTTATATTAACTGATAGCATCTGATAGCAGCAAAGCATCTCGTCATACTTTGTCACGTCTTTGGAGAATCCATCACTGGCTGGAGTTGATGTAAAACTGTTTGTGACCAAATTTGCCAAAACTTTCCAGCCATGCTTCGCTCCATCCCATGTGCAAAATCACTTCTGGAGAGCGATACTGGCGTGTCTGTATCACTGACGAGTGATGCATATCCACCTCGGCCATTTTGCTCTTGTACTAGGCGTCACTAACCCGAGGATAGTGATTACTCGCCCGTTCCAACTGCCCATGTGCCTCCAGGCCCATCTTAAAACATAGACTTACGCAGCGCACGGCTTACTAAGTTACTAGTCTGAACATATGACCGCAATGTTTTGTTTGCTCATGTTTGTTTCAGGTGTCTTCGGCCCATAAGGAGTTCCAGATAATGTTTGCAATGTTTACTTGGCACCGCCCTAATAGAATGCCAGTAATGGAAGGATGCTCGGTTTTTGGTTGATGACTCTTACATGGACCTCGTCCTACTCAGGTCCTACTCTTACTTGGCCCCAGTGTCGTAGGTGGCACTCCCAAAGTCGACAAGCTTGACCAAGTTGGTGAATGGCCGCACGTATGGGAGATTCGCATACCTCTCAGAAATGCTTGAACTATAACTTTAGCACTTCCAATATTCTCGACATGGGGTGGAGTCAGGAGGAAAGCAGCAAGACTTACATATAATTGTGGTTCACATATGATCAGACCATATCACGCCGTTCCTATTCATGCACATGACAGTGTCTTGCTCTGGTCAACAGGTTAGGCCGGGCAGCATGCACCTCTACCACGACTGCACAAACAGGTCTCACACAGACACACACAAGTTTGAGTTCCAACACTTATATATTTGCCCTAATTTGCCTCCCAAACCACCTCCAGACCAGTGACACTGCGACTCTGTCACCCTCCTCTTTCGGCATGCCT